GGACGACGAGCGGACAAGACGAACATTCTCGATGCTCATTCTGGGACAAGACGACAAAAGAAACATGAGCGTTGCTTTCTTTGGGGACGGGGACTCTACTCGTCACCTGCAGTAGCTACGCGGAACCACCGCCGCGCGCCCAATGAAGCTGTCGCTGCGACGGACGCAGTCACACCGGCGTCAATGACTCCTCTGCTCGCCAGCATCGATCGCATCAACGCTGCTCTGGAAGCTGCACTGACACAGCCTCCACCGCCGACCGGGACATTGCGTGTGTGCCACGCAACGGAAGACGAGTGGAACGCGTTTGCTGACAGCGAGGATCCAATCGTTCGACTCAATTATCTTGAATGGTTTCCTGACACGGAAGAGATTCACATCATCGAGTTTGCCGACGCTCCCCACGAAGATTACGCTGAGGAGCTAAACGATCAATTTCGTAAGCGGCATGTCAAGAGATGGCCGAAAGGCCACATGGCCGCCAAGAATTCTCAAGGGCGACGATGGTGTCCAGATCTCAGTTATGGACCACACGAAGACACACCGCACTCCGTGCTTCCGCCAAACATTCCAATTTTTGCAGACTTTCGGACGATCAAGGTTGAAATTGGAGTTTCTCAGCAGTGGGGCATGGCACCAGGAGAGCTCGACCACAAGGCGATGGCGATATGGGCTGTGATGCCAGGAGTTGAGTACGTGCTGTGTGTGAAATTCGAGCCCGACTTTACGAATGCGGAATACAAGTTGTATGATGCTCGCGTCAATCCACTCGTGCAGCTGGCTCCACTCCCAATCGTCGCTCCAAGAACCGTGATCCAGTTGGACGGACGTCGAATCCTTGGTATTCCACCAGGGATGGCGCTCCCGGTTGGGTTTCCTGCAACTCTGTTGGTGGATTTGTACTCTCCATTGGTCTGTGCAATGCGTCAATAGACGTCCAGCAATCTAATCTCTTGCGCAGCAACTGCCGAGTCAGAATAATAATCTGTGATTGCACCATTTAAAAAAAAGGCAAGAACACATTGTGATCCTGAATGAGCGAAAATACGGAGGTTCAAATGGTGGCCACCTCGATTCTCGTTATCAGAAGCGACGATATCAGTTATGGAACACATCAGTTGTTATGAATTTAGATAAATGACGGCCAAGTGTCCATGTTCAGCTCCAAAAAAATTCCATTTTTACTTTTACACTTTTTTTTTACTAACCCCTCCTACCCCCCTTTCTTTATAATATTTTCTATAAGAATACAGAAAAAGCTGGACACCTGGACACTAATAACATACATTGATCTAGAGCTGATATAGTCGCTTCTCATCAAAAGAAAGATGGACACCAAAGCTGGACAGACGTGGCCACTCACCTGGACAGCAACTCAATGCTCGACATCTCAGCGCAACCAGACGATGCAACACCCCCTGTTTTCGACCAAGGATACAAAAAAATACACACCTGGACACACTTACGAGAATGTGACGGGTTCATAGATTGTAGTACTGCGACATCATAAGATGTTCTCCCGCTAAAGTGACTTCTG